CAGAAGACAGCCTTGGAATCTCTGATGCTGCCCAGCTGGGTGGCTTTGCGGGTGTCCTTTAAGCTCTCTGAGCTCCCTGGTCTCACCTATAGAGTGGAGGTAACTGCCGTAGCCCTAATGGGATTTCTCAGACAGCGGTGCGGTGCGTTCCTGACCGCCTCACTCTCCGCCCCTGACTCAGTTTTTCCATCGCCCCTGTGTCAGTCTGCTCGGGCCCCAGAACAAAGGCCCACAGAACGGTGCTTAAACCACAGACAGGTGTTTCTCACCGGTCCGCAGGCCAGACCGCGCAGGCCAGGGTGTCCGCAGCATGGATTCCTTCCGAGGCCTCTGTCCTCGGCTCACACCGGCCACCTGTGCGGTGTGTCCTCACACGCCTTCCTCTGTGCCCAGGCGCCCCTGCCGGGCCTCTCGGCCTTCCAAGCATCCTTGTCTTGTAAGGACACCAGTCACTTTCATGGACTCACCTCTTGAAAGGCTCTATCTCCAAACGCAGTCACATTTTGAGGTACCCGGGTTAGGGCTTCAACTTATGAATTTTGGGGGAAGGACACAAAATTCAGTCCATCACAGCACCTGACTCTATATTACATATTCATGTACAATCATGAATTCCATGAGAGACCTTGTTTCCTTCACTGCATGTACCAAACGCTTAAAGCAGCACCTGGCACATAGTAGGTGCTCAATAAACAGGGCTTAGGACTAGTACAATGACAGTTCCCGCTGTAGCTCTCACATGAAGACAACTCTCAGCTGGGCTGCAATGAGTCATCTCTGAGCATCCTCCAGATCACTGGCCCCGGGAGGAGCTTCTGCTGCCCTTGCCCAGACTTGAGGGAAACCCCAGGACATGTTTACTTAATACTGTCAGTCCCAAACTCATGAAAACCTTGAGTTCAGAGTTAAGAGGAAATTTACACATCATCGAATTCAACTCAAAACCAGTGGAGGAAGCCCCTTCATAGCAGCGACACCCTCTCCATCAGCAAGCCCAGGGACAGGAAGCAGCCGGCTGTGGGGCTAGGATGTGTTACCCTGTGCACACACCAACCTAATAAGGGTGTTCTCTGTAGAACTGGTTGTAATGGTGAAAAATGAAAACAAATATCGCTAGGTGGGTAAACAGATGCACACTGGTTTTCCATACAGTAGTGGTAGTTTTCAGCCACTCAAATTTATTACATCGACATGCAGCACAATGGATGTGTCAAAAAACACTAAGTTGTGAATACAAGATGATGTTATACACACATATAATTCATTTTTATATATCCCTGTGTGTAAATATCACTTGAAAACAATGTGTATTGTGTGTAGAAAAGGTACAAAACATGCAGGGGAGAGGTGCACACAAATCTCAGAGTAGTGGTGGCCTCTGAGAATTAGGATAAGGGCTAGGGTTAGGCTTAGGATTAAGCCTAGGGTTAGGTTTAGGGCTAGGGCTAGGGCTAGGGTTAGGGTTAGGATTAGGGCTAGGATTAGGACTAGGATTAGGGCTAGGATTAGGGCTGGAGTTAGGGCTAGGCCTAGAGTTAGGGTTAGGAATAGAGTTAGGGTTAGGTTTAGGGCTAGAGCTAGAGTTAGGGTTAAGGCTAAGGCTAGGATTAGGATTAGGGTTAGGGCTAGGGCTAGGGGGTAGGATTAGGATTTTGACTAGGGCTTGGTTTAGGGTTATGGTCAGGCTAGGGCTAGGGTTAGGGCTAGGACTAGGTTTAGGGTTAGAGTTATGTCTAGGGTTAAGTATTGGGTTAGGGTTATGGTTAGGGTTATGGTTACGGATATGGCTATTTTAGAGTTAGTGTTAGGGTTAGGGCTAGTGTTAGGTCTAGAACTAGTATTAAGACTGGGGTTAGGGCTAGTGCTCAAACTAGAGTTAAGGTTAGGGCTAGGGCTAGGTCAGGGGCTATGGCTAGTTCTAAGGCTAGGGTTAAAACTAGGGCTTGGACTAGAGTTAGGGCTAGGGATAGGTTTGGTGCCAGAGTTAGAGAAAGGCCTATTGTTAGGACACAGGCCAGGCCTAGGGCTAGGTTTAGGGTTTGATTTAGGGCCAGGATTAGAGCTAGGCTTAAGGTTAAGGTTAGATTTAGAGCTAAGGCTAGCGTTAGTGCTTGGGTTAGGTTAGGGTTAGAGCTAGGGCTGAGGCTATGGCTAGGGTTAGCATTAGAGACTGTGAGACTGTGTATGGGATAGGGATAGGGCTATGGTTAGAGTTAGGATTGGGCTAAGGCTAGGATATGAGCTAGGGCTATGGTAAGGTTTGGAATTAAGGCTAGGATTAGGGCCAGGACTAGGGTTAGAACTAGGGCTAAGGCTTGGTTAGCATTTAGGGTTATGGCTAGGGCTAGGATTAGGTTTAGGTTTAATGTTAGGAATAGGGCTAGGGTTAGGGCTAAGGCTAGTTTAGGGTTAGAGCTAGGGTTAGTGTTAGGGTTAGGGTTTGGGCTACGGCTAGGTTTAGTGTTAGGGTTAGTGTTAGAACTTGGGCTAGGGTTAAAGCTGGGATTAGGGTTA